CCGGGAGCTTGTGGCCAATTCAGAGGAATGTGTCAGAGCCTGTTCAGAGGGTGAGACTGTACACACACTGTTCATACACTGAACACACACTGTACACACACTGTACACACACTGAACACTGAACACACACTGAACACACACTGAACACACACTGAACACACACTGAACACACACTGAACACACACTGTGTGTGATGTGGAGCGCAGGTTGAACATGTCTCCCCCTGCAGGCTCTCTGTCCAGACTGGGTCGGTGTCTGAACCGCTCGTGGCAGCAGAAGAAGCTGATGGCTCCTGGGTGTGAACCGGCCTCTGTGAGGACCATGATGGAGGCTCTGAGGCCACTGGTCCTGGGTCAGAGTCTGGCCGGTGCCGGGGGCGGTGGATTCCTCTACCTGCTGACCCGGGAGCCTGAGCAGCAGCAGGCGGTGCTCCAGGTCCTCAACAACACACCGGTAAGAAGCAGATATCAGTACTTTCTATATTTCTATATTTCTATAGTCAGATAAACTCAGATCTGCTCATGGGAAGTCGATCGGTGACGATGAGAGACTGAAGCTCCTCCATGTTGACAAACTGGACTGACCGACAGCACCATGAGTCCATGCTCCGTATTCAGACATTTCATTTCAGTGAACTTGAAAAGACGACATCATATAACTTTACGTCTCAAGTCGTCTTCAAACAGCTGACGTTCATTTATCAATTCTCATCATTTAGAGTCAAACTGACCAGAAAGCACATGTGTTGGGGGGTGGAGACCACAGTGTGATTGACAGCTGGTACCGTCCAATCGGTGCAGTTGTACTTGAACTCTCAGTCAGGCTCCACCCCCTGCTCCTCCATATATGGTTACTTCTGGTTTCATAAAATCAAAATGTGAAACTGAGGCTTCAGAACAGCAGCTCACGTCAGGTGACGTCACGGTGGTGGAGAGTGACAGAGGCTGGAGAAGTTACAAATCCAGAGAGAAGTTGAGACTGATTAATATCAACTAAAATACAATCTTATCATCCAATGAGAAACAAACGTTCAGCTCTGTGTGGTGGATTAGTTCTCATCATGATAACTGTTGGTTTCAGGGTCTGGGAGACTTCAGTGTTCACACAGTGGAGCTGGACATGGATGGGATCACAGTCCTGCCCCCGTCCTGAGGACACACAGACACACAACACCTCTGGGACGGTCGCCAGGCAGAGTGAGCGTGAAGAATCTAAACTAATTCACAAAGTGGGATCAAATGTGAAAGTAGCTGAATGATCCTTCTTCTATGTGAAGCAGCTTTAAAGGGTATTTTTCTACTGGGATAAGAAATAAAGACGTGTTCTCAGAGAAACATCTGTAAACCTCTGTAAACCTCTGACTCACTGACGTTGACTCATCAGATGAAGGAAACTTTCTCTTCATATTCAGTCAGACGTTTGAAGGGCAAGTTCACATTTCAAGTCTTTGTTCAAACCAGTCTCATGCATGTGTTTCGTGAACGTTGTTGTGATCGTCCTGGTTCTTTGTGCGATTCCACACATGGAGCCAGTAAACACATGATATATATTATATAATATTAATTATAGACACTAAGGTCATATCACCCAATGTGACAAAT